GTGTTTCATGCTTTAACTGTCCTAGCGGGACATTGCTGGCGCAAACTAACAGGTTCCTAGTTCACATTAACATAGTCCTCTTTAGAACAGAACTATCTTAATTGTGAACAAGGTACCTTTTAGTTCACACCAGAGGTGTCCACACAGGGCAGTTAGAGGGCAACAGTGTGGTGCACCCTGCAATTCATGCCCTGGTAGTCCACAAAGTACACAATACAGCAGGACCCCAATTTGATGAACAAATTGAGGCTTGAGATGTTCAGAAAATCAGAAAGTTAATCAAATGGAACATCTCAAAGTTAGTGTTCATTTATTAATTGTTCAATGATAGATAGTGTCCATAAATATATCCAGCGTGCCTGAATCTCTGTACCACCAAATCTCTTAGTCTTTTCAAGCCTGTACGGCCATTTGAATGTTGGCTAATGCCACATTTGGTTGCAGGAAGAGGACTTTGATGGCAGAAAAATGATTCATAAGATCCATGTTCATAAAATCAGGGTTCTGCTGTACTCAGAAGAGGTTACAGAAATCTATAGCAAAGCTGAGTTTATGTTCTGCCTATAACAGCAAAGGCCAGTAACTATTACAACTGGTTTTAAAAATCTAGTACCACTCAGTAACTTTCTAAATAGTAAATGCCGAGGACCCGTTTGGGTTAGCCATCCTGCTTAGCAATGAAGTTAGTTAAAAGTCTATTAGCTATTCATAGCAAAGAACAGCAGACACAGAGATGACAGCATACATTTGTCTTCTGCGCATTGTAGATTTTAGAAGATGAACGCCACCTTCAGATGGACAAATCAGTAACTCTGAAAGAAAGATTTCTGTTTGCCCTACCTGAGAAAGGATGAACTTAATTTGTTATTATGGAAAAGCTGGGAGTTCTGGACAAGGTAGAACAACCTGCGGATTGGGTTAATTCTGCAGTTGTATTTGAAAAGCCAAATGAAGCCCTGATATACATTGATCAGTAGGTTTCCGGTATAGGGTGGTATTTATGTGACCATCGCTTATTAGCACAGTAGTGTCCAGGAAATGGACCGCTTGTGTGGATTGATCTAGGCTGAGGTTGATGGTGGGATGGAAATTATTGAAATCATGGTGAAATCATCTGGACCCATGGAAAAGAAGCCCTTGAGGAATTTCACCATGA